AAGTACCTAAACTTCCCGGTGTTAAAATAAGACCCCGTGTGGAGAAAATATAATTCGAAGCCTCAATTTAAAACCATTTAAATTAATTCAAAATGTAAAACAAAAATAATTAAATTGATTCGAAGAGTAAAATCAAATCAATATGGTAATTAGGAGCGGTAATTAAAAATTTCACGCAAGAATGCAGTAAACTGCTGAGGCGTTCCAAATATCCGATCGCTAATCTGAAGCTGCACCGCATTTAATTATGAAGAAATTATCACTTTAATTGTCACCTTCCTTTGACATATTATTTGCATTCAAAAATTCAAGCTAATGACGAGCTTCTTTTCGTGTTCCTTACCTCTACCCGGAACAAATGGCAGAAATGTTTCGATGAATGTCTCTAAAAGTTCACGCTCAGCTGTACCACACACGGTCATTAGTGCATTGAATAAGTCAGTATACCTACCGACTATATACTGTCATTAGAGCATTGAAAAATTTATTATACTCAGCAACTTTTTAAATGACTATGCGTATATTTTCGTGTATCTTAATTACCTCTCCCCGTACACATGGCGGCGCAATGTTTCGATTAATGTCTCTAAAAAAACTTTCATGAGCCACCTCTGATTCTCGAAAATATTCCTTTCATTTCACATAGCAAGCGTTTGAATAAAAGAATCGTTGGTGAAGAAACAGTTTTTTCTGAAGCTATAGTAGTCATTTGTATGGGGTTATTTTACGTGCCAAAATACTGCGCTATTTCCAGACGAATTCGAAAAATTTCCGGTCACCAATAAAGAAAAGAGGCCCTGGATTGTGATTAGTTCCTAAGAAAGAAAAGTAAAATCCTATTATTATCTCTTATTTGACAACTTGTTCCTTGTAATTTTTTTGTCAAAGGATGAAAAAATGAAATTTTGATTCCGACAGAATTTCTTTTTAACAATTTCTACGGAATTTAATTGAAAATTTTGATATTTCCACATCAGGATTTACTTCCGAAATTCACATGGAAGAAGATGCCTAAAATCAACATTTTTGAATGCACAAATCTTCACAGGTAGTAATCTGCCTAATCGTTATTCCTAATTAAAGCTTTACAATTCCTAAGTCTTTTTATAGAAAAAAGAACTTTGATTAAATATTCGAAGAGCGAAGAAGCGTAAGAATAAATTTATATTTTCGAAAGCTATATTTCTATTTCCTGCTTCAATATATTAACATATATTCTAGCATATTAGCGAAGCAATTACAAGATCTATTATATCTTTATAAGTAAAGTTTTGACGATTATCTACTAGATTTGATTCTAAATTGGTCTGGAATCCAATACTCTGAGCTCTGAATAGAATGAAAATTAGCGGAAAACTTTAGCTGATTTACTTATTTAAGAATAAATTCGTCTGCTACATGGGATCATCTGGTGTTTTTGGAATTCAGAGTCGTCACATTTTTGTTGAAATTTTTGTGCTCCTCAAATCAGGTACATATTAGCCGAATTCAATTTTAATAAATAAATTTTTTTATAATAAAAACTAAATATAACTAAATATTTTTTATAAACTAAAAACTAACAATTCTGAATTATCACTTGTTAAATCATCAATTATTAATTTCATTCAATGAAATTAACAGTTTAAAATATGATGTTACACGTACGAGGCGTGTTTTTTTAGTAAGTACCGTTTTTAAATAACGCCGAAAGTATGTACCAATTTTAATTAAATAACACCTAGCCGTTTTAAATAACGCCGAAAGTATGTACCAATTTTAATTAAATAACACCTAGCCGTTTTAAATAACGCCGATAATAAGTACCGTTTTTAAATAACTCCGAGCCGTTTTAAATAACGCCGATATTAGGTACCGTTTTTAAATAACGCCGAGCCGTTTTAAATAACGCCGATAGTAAGTACCGTTTTTAAATAACGCCGAGCCGTTTTAAATAACGCCGATAGTAAGTGTCGTTTTTAAATAACGCCGAGCCTAGTGCGAAGTAGGTACCGAAATACGGTCTCTCTATGCTCCAGGCTTCGAATCAGTTGACAGCCATCGCCTAATCTGTAAAGTGGATTGTGAAAACAATATTAGTGTTGGAGTGGTGCGGAATTGAGTTAGGGCAAGTGATCTGCCTCAAAAAGTGAACTTTTAAGTTAAAGAAAACAATCAATTAACGATTTCGTCCTCAACTGAAATGTTTCCTGCTGTTTCTAGAGGTGTTCATTAAGAAACTGTCAAATCATGTTATCTAATCAGGCGGCAAGCTTACTTGAAGATGGCATAGAAAAGCTGGTCACAAGATACAATAAAGGTCTCACTATAAATGAGAATTACTTATAAAAGTAAGGTATAAAATTTCAAGCGAATAATTTTTTTTAATTTAGAAATGCTTTTTGTGTCAAAACGGCGCACACGTTAAAAACACGCTTTGTATAATACGGCAGAATCCTAAGAGTTTTTTATTGACATTCTCAAGCCAAATACTCATTTCGCACAAGTTTATTTGAAACTCATAGCTAAGTTGAGTCGTGTCTGTCTCACATACCGTGGCCAAGGGCCCCTTCATTCCACGCCATAATTGTTTCCGGGATGCAAACTTGCGGTGAAACTTTCCTTTGAAATCCTGCGGCTATCAATGAACAGGTGACGAAATGTAATTAAAATTTGATGCCCTAAAGTTCACTTTTATCTAAACTAGATGTCAGGCCATTAGGCCTCACAATACTAAACACTGACACGGAAAATGTGGTTATTTGAGAATAAAATGGAGATGAGCATTGATCTTGAACAACATGAGAGCCAAATAACTTGATACATTTACAATATTTTTTTGCGTATCTGGTCAAAACATGATGGCTTTGCTATTTGGATTTCGTCAGATTGTAATTTCTCAAATATTCTGAGAAGTTCAGTTAAATAATCACCGTTGTTTTGAGATCAATCTCAATGAGCTGTAATTTCTGATCAAATTTTTGCTAATCAATCTAACTTTTGACTGCTCCAGCCATTCATAAGCGAGTTTATGAACTATCTTCAAACTGCTACTGCTCTGAAAGTCCAACTTCCAAGTTTTAACGGAAAGTTTATCATCAGAGTCTTCTACAATAGAGACCAAAGCCATAATTTGCGACCGTTCGTAGAGAAAATCGTGATTAATTACACATTTTAAGCAAGTTGAATTACACCGTTCCAACTCCCGATTGTTATTCTTTATTTATCATGTAAAAATTTTTACGTTTGTTTCTATACAATAATTAATTGAATTGGTGGTGCAGCTCAACCTCCCATGCTAGCAGCATTTATTACTTCTTGAAGTTTCTCGCAGAAATCGCATTATATATAACGAAACCTAAATTATTATATAGTAAAAACATTAAATAATACAAAAACTGTTCGAAAAAATGGGGGAGAATCTTTAACGTGAAATGACTATGGAATAAATGGAACGTTGAGCTTCAAAGCTACGAAAATTGATTGTATTAATTTTTTTGAATACAGATTTACAAACTTTATCTTGCAGGATTATGAAAAAGTATGACCAAAATTATTGCTGAAACTTACAACCATATTACTGAAACTTACATATTACTGAAATTTACAATCATTTTTTCATAGATGTCATAAATAAATAAGTTTCTGATTTTGATATCTACTTTCCATGGATTATTTTTTTTCGAGCAAATGAAATGGAAAATTCTTCACCAAGCAACCCATGCTCGTAGTCTGAATTCGATCTCGCAGTTTAATGGAATCTGGCAATATGAAGGGACTCTCAGCAGGCTGCAGATATGACGACGTCAAATGCACTTAGGAATTTCGAAAAAGTTTGTCTAGTCTGAAGGCTCGTAGACCTATGGTGATTTTTTCGCTAATTTTACCGCTGAAAGAATAAGAAAATAATAATAAGAAGATAAATAATAATAGGAAACATAAGAACTATCGAGTGGCTTGTGCCTTGCGCATTTTCTCAGCCTATTTTTTACAACACTTCACTTTAACTTCACTTCTTGTTTGTTTGTTGATGTGTGTGCTACAAATCTTATAATCGATATTTATCACGCTTCTAAATATCCAATCGATCTGAAAATTTGCACTCGTGCGTAAAGTCGGAGACAATGCCTGAATCAATTGACAGAATGATTAATTTAAAAAAATTAAAACAATTTATATGATAAAATAATTAAAAAAATTGTTTTTAATATTTAAAAATAAAATAAGAAATTCATTGTACATGTGTAACGTCGGAGACACTGGCACCTATAGAAGAGTTGTCTCTAAAAAAACAATTTTTAAACGAATTTTTATTTTTCAAAATATTTCTTTCGTGTTATTATAATGGAATTGTCATATCAGCAATATTCGTGCTCCGTGAAAAAAACTCTTTATATAATTAAATAATTTTAATGCCATTTATATCGGATATAACAGACTTCTTAAATCTATCACACCCCCAACTTTATAATTTTTACTGATATTGTTTCGGTCGTTTAATATGTGACTTTTATTCTTTTCAGGAATCTACAGAAATTTTTTTTAGAAATTGTTGTTCTAGGTTGAATTTTTCTTATCTGCAACGAAATTTATCGAAGTTTCCCATTAATTTTCGACATTCCAAGAAAAAACGACGAATTTACTTCTTAATATTTTAATGAGTGCCAGATTTACTGAGCATCTCGTCTTTAAGGAAAGAGGAAATCAAGAAATGAACGATACATGAGAAAAAATTACCTAAGTTTTATTATTTTTCATTCCGTTAAGTAATGTTCATTGCATGACTATATAATGTTGGTGATCAAAAAATTGCAAAATAATAAATACAATTAAACACACAATTCTTATTTAACGGTCGAAATATTTTAACGGTCGAACAACAACAGATCAACGTCACTTGAAAATATTTAAAAAAAGGTACCGTAAATTTTTAGAAAAACGTAATTTTTCGAAAAAAATTCAAGAAAAAAATTATTTTGCAAAGAACACTAAAATAACTAAGTTAATTGAAGGAATAAAAGATGGAGTCGAAACCGTCAACGAACAACTTCGCGATGAAGATTCAGCCTAAAGAAAACCACGTGGAAGATGGGGCTGCTTTTCGCAGTGAAAACAAAATTATTTGCACGACGGGCAAAGGCGGCGAATTTATGAACCTGGGCAACGGAAGCCTCGAACCATCGCATAGTAAGCCTTATGTTTTAACTATGAATAAGGGTTCTAATTAAACATTTATGTGTCGATATCGCCCTGTAATTTTGCTTAATCAGGATCAGTGCGAATGAAAACCAATGAGCTCCTTGAATTTAAACAGTGATAAATTTACATTGAGTAGTGAATTTTTGATGAATCACACGAGTCATAGCTTCACAAACCAATGGCGCTTTTTAACGCATAAGCTAGATTCTATATATTTCGTTACCTTCCCCTAATCAAATAAATTTCATATTATTGATACTATGCAACATTAAAGTCTTGTTCTTCCTCGGCAGTGTACTATGCATTTGTTTCATTCATGTTTTTTATTTCTCTTTTATTCAGAGAACAACTGAAATCATTTTTTGGTGATATCGAACCCAGACTCATGGTTCTGTCATGGGATGAATTTCAGGCTAGTATACCACATTTGTCTCAATGATGCTCACCAACATTTTAATAAAAAAATTCATATGATTCTCTCTAATGATTTAATTGGAGCTGTCTTCATAATACTATAATATCCAGTTATATAATTAGTTGTATATATGATACTAACCAGTTCCTTCATTAGAGCTGTTTTGATACAATCTAGTAAGTTCGTTAAACGAATTACTGGAGTGATTGAAATTCCCTTATATGTATACGAAATTATGAAATTCATTTCATAATTTCATTTCATAATTATTTGAAATTCCTTATTCCTGGAACTGCCCTATAGTTCTTAGTTGAATATTTTCCAGTACTTCCATGATAATTATTACGATTATGCTCAGTGATAATTATGTACCTTAGCTGTTTATAATTTCCAGTAATTCCATGATAATTATCACGATTATGTCCTGTGATTACGTGCCTTATAGTTCTTAGTTATATATTTTCCAGTAATTCAACGATAATTATCAAGATTATGTCCTGTGATTACGTGCCTTATAGTTCTTAGTTATATATTTTCCAGTAATTCAATGATAATTATCAAGATTATGTCCTGTGATTATGTGTTTTATAGTTCTTAGTTATATATTTTCCAGTAATTCAATGCTAATTATCAAGATTATGTCCTGTGATTATGTGCTTTATAGCTGTCTCTTATACACATCTAGATGTGNGTAGTAATAACTGGTACTAATACTAACACTGGTACTAATATAATAGTACTAATAACTGGTACTAATACTAACACTGGTACTAATATAAAATATAATAATAACTGGTACACTGGCACTCAACCTTTACACTAGGGTCGCTGAGCATGAAGGGAGGAGTTATAGGACTGGTAATATTATATTTCATTGACTGTAGAGTTAGATTGAATAAAATTGTTAGATGGTATCGATTAATCTATATATTTGCCATTGAATATAACGGTTGTAATAATAAATCATGATATGCTTCAATTTTCATATTTAAGCATTGAATTTCAATTCAAACACATTTATATTCATTTCGGAATAATTATGACTATGTTTTGGCAATTTATTTTTTACCTCAAGTCAATTCATTTCCAATTCAGTATTGAAATCTAGATATATATTTAAATAGAATAGATATATTTCTGGAGTCTATCTGGAGATAGACTCCAGAAAAATTTGCCTATTCCTTAAAATTGCATCATATAATATCCTTCTATCAAAGAATATCAATATTATAACTTATTCTTTAAAAACATCATTGAAAATTTCATTTATATAAATTGTTTTTACAGAAAAAAAAAACTAATTATATTTTCAATACTCGTATTTCTGATTAAGAAGTATCTTAGTACCAAAATAATTAAGTTTCTTTGCTTAATTGAGCCGTTTAATCGCTTAGTTAAGCAATTTAACCGCTTAGTTAAGCAATTTAACCGCTTAGTTAAGCGGTTTAACTGCTTATTCAGTTTAACCGCTTAGTTAAGCGGTTTAACCGCTTAGCTAAGCAGTTTAAACGCTTAGCTAAGCAGTTTAACCGCTTAGTTATTCAGTTTAACCGCTTAGTTAAGCAGTTTAACCGCTTAGTTATTCAGTTTAACCGCTTAATTAAGCAGTTTAACTACTTTGTTAAGCATTATATGACACTAAAAAATAGTCCTAAAAATTTTCCACTAAATTTCCTCGCCAGGCTGGGGAGGAGTGGTGCTGCTGTTGGCTCTCGGTGTTGGGGTTGGGGTGTCGGGGTCAAGACTGGGGTTGTCCTGGGTGATGTTGGAGGAACATTACCCCAAATACAAGACTGCTTGTCGCACCCCGTACCCCTCCATTGGGTATGAGGCTCTTGGCAGGCCTGGCAAGTGAGTAGCAATATTATCTCCATATTTTAAAATTATTAATATTCATATGATAAATTGATATATTATCTTAGGCAAAAATTACTTATGTAATTGATTACTTCTCCTTGGGTATGAGGCTCTTGGCAGACCCGGCAAGTGAGTAGCAATATTATCTCCATATTTAAAATTATTAATATTCATATGATAAATTTATGAATTATCTTTAACAAAGCAACTTTTGTAATTGATTTCTTTATGTCGAAGACGCGACGCTGAGCAGACCGAACAAATTGTACATTGTTTGGTTGAATTAACATGTAACGATGCCAGTTGGCAGAATTGTGAATTATCTGAATGGGACTTTGAATTGTATATATTAATATTAGTGAGTAAAACAACTTTGGAACTGACTTAATTAACAACTCTCTATTGTCAGTGCTTCTAAGGAGCTTCTTAATTAGCATTTGCACTAGCATTAGCAGCACAAAGGGGACATTCATATAAATATCTATAAAAAATTATTTTATATCGGTGAACGTAAATATTTTCCATTTTGAATATAAACTTTAATAAATACAAATTTGTTAAATTGGGTCCATCATTTATCATAAACTTTTATGGTAATATATTATATCAGTATCGGTAGTAATATATTAGTGTATAGGAATAGTATAATATATTAGTGTAGTACATGTATATAATAATAGTGTCGCTAGAGAGTAGAGAGTAGAGAGGAGAGAGTAGAATAAGCAAGGAAGAAGAGGTTGGACAATAAGAATATAATTCTTAATTTTAACATATTTAGTGGCACACAGTAATCCTTGATGTATGTCCGTGATGTAATAATCAAATTTTCGTTTGGACTCGTGTTCTACACAGGATTGTGATTGCTATGGCTTCTTTATATTGGTTTAATTTGACTAGGTTTAAGTGAATTCTACGCCTTTGATTGCTTCGTTTAAATAATTCCAAAAATAATTTCCCGGCATTTTTCACTCGTTTCTAGGAAAGGAAGTTCATTATGGATGATAAATTGCATAGTGAAGCTGGGAATGCTATAGAGGCTGCTATAGTGAGTTAGCAGGCTGCGGGTGGTGATAGCATGCACCACGCACACACAACACACGCTCACACAATTTGTGTATTGCCCTGCTTGCTGTATGGTGTGATGCACCATAGAACCATAACATATACTCACACAATAGTGTTGCCCTGGCAGCTGCATGGTGGTGACACAGATATACACATAAGACATACACATAAGACACTCACACAATTGTATTACACAGGCTACTGGTGGTGATGACCCACACACAAACACACATACACACAACACATAACGCACACAATTGTATTACACAATCTGCTGTATTACACAGACTGCTGATGGTGATGACCCACACACTCACACATAACACACAATCGTATTACACAGGTTGCTGGTGGTGGTGGCACAGAACCTGACGCTGGTGGGGGTGTGATGGCCCACCCATACATACACACATAACACACAATTGTGTTACACAGGCTGCTGGTGGTGGTGGCACAGAACCTGACGCTGGTGGTTATGACGCACACACACACATAACACACATAACACACAATTGTATTACACAGACTGCTGGTGGTGGTGGCACAGAACCTGACGCTGGTGGGGGTGACGACGGTGTTCCTGATCCTGTCAGGGGACATCCTGCAAGCGCTGCTGGGGGAGCACGCGCCCCTGGTCTTCTCCTCGCACTGCTACTGCACGCTGCTCGTGGGGGGGCTGCTAGTACCCCTGTCCTGGCTCGGCACGCCTAAGGACTTCTGGTTAGGGAACTGAATTGATAATAGAACTAATATAATATGAATAGTTTTTTATTGTTATAAATATTTATAAAAATAATAGTTATTCTAATGTATGTCAGTAAAATGATCAAATTCGTGGCTCGGCACGAACAAAGATTCTGGTCAGGGAGCTGAATTTATTATAGAACTAATATAATATGAATATATTTTTGTTGCTATAATTATTTATTATAATTAGCATCATCATTCTAATGCTTGTAGGTAAATTATAAAATTCGTGGCTCGGCACGCCTAAGGACTTCTGGTCAGGGAACTGAATTGATAACAGAACTAATATAATAATATCAATATATTTTTCTTGATATAGTTATTTATTATTATTATTATTAATCATGATTCTAATGCTTGTAAGTAAAATGTAAGTATTCGTGGCTCGGCACGCCTATGGATTTCAGGTTAGGGAACTGAGCTGATTATAGAACTAATGTAATAATATGGGCATATTTTTATTGTTATAATTTAATTATTAATATTATTAATTATTTTTAATTATTATTATTAATCATGATTCGAATGCTTGTAAGTACAATTATAAAATTCGTGGCTCGGCACGCCTAAGGATTTGTGGTCAGGGAGCTGAGTTGGCCATGGAACTAATATAATAATATCAAAATATTTTTTTAGTTATAATAATTCATCAAAATAATCATCATTTTAATTATTATAAGTAAAATTATAAAGTTCGTGGCTTGACACGCATAAGGATTTCTGGTCAGGGAGCTGAGCTGACAATAGAACTAATATAATATGAATATATTTTAATTGTTATAATTATTTATTATCATTATTATCATCATTCTAATGCTTGTACGTGAAATGATAAAATTCGTGGATCGGCACACCCAAGGACTTCTGGTCAGGTAACTGAATTGATAATATAACTAATATAACATGAATAGTTTTTTATTATAAATATTTATCATAATAATCGTTATTTTAATGTACTTCTGTAAATTGATCAAATTCGTGGATCGGCACGCCTAAGGATTCTGGTTAGGGAGCCGAGTAGATAGTAGAATTAATATAATAATATGAATATATTTTATTGTCATATTTATTGTGATAATAATCGTTATTCTAATGCTTGAAAGTAAAATGATAATATTCGTGGCTCGGCGCGCCTAAGGGCTGAGTTAACTATAATATTATAATATTATAATATTATAATATTAATATATATTTTTTGAACTGGTCAGAACTGAGTGTTGACCCTAATAAAATGATATGAATATATATTAATTATCATAATTATAATATTTTCCAGTTAAATGATACAAATTCATATATAGAGGTTTAATATAGAGAATAATTGTTTAGTATTGAAATTAAGTTATTATTATAAGCACAGCATTACGTAAGCTATTAATGCATAATTCATATTCACAAAATATATAACATATATTCGTTAAGAGTATATTTTCTGAACTGCTGTACCATCGAACGCCTAAATCATTTGATATTTTTAGCATTCATGCATGATACTTCAAGGCTAATAATATGTTACCAATTGATTTAATTTAAAAGCACATAACATAAATTATGAACATTATTTATAAATATATTATTCTTTTTATGAAATCGAGTCACACCATACATAAACTGTATTAATATAATATAATTTTTATCACGAATAACAAATCGTATATTGATGCTATTGAATCTATGAAAGAATTAGGTCCCATAACGCTCCAAACGTAATGACAAGCAATGATTTGAATGGTGAAACATGTATTCACACTCTACAATTATTTATTGCATAATATAATATCAGTAATAATAATAATAATATTTCATTTAATATTTATTCATCATAATAATAATTATTATTATTCATTTACCGACCTATTCTCAACGTGTATCTGGCATTTGTTTCTAAGTTTTTTTCGACACGCATATTCCGAAATACATTTTCCCTGCACCCTCCTACTCCCATCTTCTCCCTCCCATTCCAAATAATTGCTATCTTCGCAACCTTCTATTTGTCTACTGAACAATATCACCAATAAAGTTCATTCTTAACATTTTGGACATGACATTAATATCAGCATATTACCTCTCAGGCCCACGGCGATCGTTGCCATGGCGACAACAATAATAGCTGTTTTCGTGGTCGTCATCAAGCTCATCGTTGATGCTCCCACGATTGAAGTCAAAGAAAATAACGGTACAAGTTTTCGTTCGTTTTTCCTGGGGTTCGGAACAATACTCTTCTCGTTTGGAGGAGCGGCAACTTTCCCTACCATACAAAATGACATGAAAGACCGGTCCAAATTTCCTCAGAGTGTCGCCATTGCTTTTCTAGGTGAGTGGCTTTAACGGTTACGGGTTTCTTTGGCGCAACTGAAATTGAATGAGGAGTGAATTGAAATCCTTTAATTCAGGATTTTAATTTAATTCGCTTCAGGATTTTAATTAAAAAAAAACATTCCACATTTGTAAGCTTAATAGTTACAGTTTTATCTGGCGCAGCTGAAATTAAGCAGGAAGTGCAACTGTTTTCCTTCCTTCAGAATTTCAATTAAAGAAAAATATTTTACACTTTCAAGCTGAACGGTTACGACTTTCTTTGGCGCAGCTGAAATTGAACAGAGAGTGCAACAGATTTTCTGGCTTCAGGTTCATAATTGGAAAGATCAATTTAATTTTAAATTCATTGACTCAAGGATTCAAATTCATTGACTCAAAATCACTAAGGATTTTGACTCAAAGGCTACAGAATTCTATTGTGCAACAGAAGAGGAGGTTCAACAGTTCTCCTTGCCTTAGGTTTACGATTATGACAATCAAATTATTTTCTATATCGGGTTATATAAGAAATTTTTTAGCAAGAGTTGACAGTCGAAATATTTGATTATATTATTATGATCAGGAATTTAAATTCCTGGTTAACTTGGGATTCAAGCAAACAAGTGATTTTAATACTTATATTATTATGATCTGTTGCAATGGTTAAAGTACCAACCTGTACATTCATACAGGCAATATTTTAAGGACATATTTCGCTTTTTTAGTTTTGCTATTGCAAATAATTCCTACCATTAGACCATTATTAATTTTTTTATTAATTTTTATAATAATTATTATTGTTATTATTAATTAGCCAATTAATTCATATTATTAGAAGCATAAGGCCCTTCTCAGCTACGTTGAAGATGTGGAGAGACAGGCTAGGAAACTTCTGGGTATACTCCTAAACACAAGCCCTACTACGAGAGGCTGTGATCCTTGAGATTATCAAGCTTGGATCGCCAAACTGGGAATACTTTCACGGGAATATTCCCAAGCTTGGAATACTTGATCGGGTACTACAAAGTTCAGCGTCCAGCATACACTGCAGGCTACAGTACATGTTGGCAATATCATTATTATTCGCGGGGAATATTATTTCTTACGAGGTTAGTCGTGCATTTCAACTATATTCACCAAGGCTACTACAGGTCACTCTATGAAGTTGGATATGAACAAATATCGGCTCAACATCAGAGGAAACTATTTTCTCATAGGATTATCGACTGGTAGAATAGCCTGCCTGATAATTTGGTCTCGTCTTTATCTGTGGACTGCTTCCAAAGCCTTATTGACATTACTGAAGTGACCTGGCATCACTTTATGAGCCGCAATGCCAGGAATAAATTTCTACGTTTATTTATGTAAACACTTTTCAACAACCCCAGCACCACCGTATGCGAAGTAAATCAAAGTTCGAGTCATGACTGTGGAGAGATGGACAAGCCTTGGGAAAGGCCTCAACCCTCTGACAAGTTCAAGTTCAATATATCTTTGACAGAATTGTTGCTGATATACTTATAACTTGAGTTTTACTGAAATGTTATTGCCGATATAATAATTACCTGCGATTTACTGACAGTGTTGCTGCTAATGTAGACCACACCGTGCAATCTACTGACAGTGTTGCTGCTGATGTACGAAACAATTTGCCTTTTTTACAGAGTTACTGATTGTGTACGTAGCAACTTGCCTTTTTCTTACAGTGTTATACTGATTATGTATCAACTTGCATTTCTGCGACAGTGTTGCAGCTGATGTAACAACTTGCATTTCACCGACAGTGTTACTGATATGAACATAACAACTTGTCTTTTTCTTACAGTATTGCTGATTATGCACATAACAATTTGCCTTTTCTGACAGCGTTGATGCTGATGTAGGTCACACCATACGCTTTATTGACAGTATTGTCACTGATGTACGTAACAACTTTTTCTTGCGGTGTTACCGATTATGTCCAACTTACATTTCACCGTCAGTGTTGCTGCTGACGTACGCAACAACATGCCATTGTCTTACACAGTTTCTGATTAGGTACATAACAACTTGCTTTTTTTCTGACACTATTGCTGATTATTTACATAATAATTTGCGTTTTCTGGCAGTGTTGCTGCTGATGTACGTGCCCATCTCTACGGTGGGGTACGCCGTAGTAGGAGAGGAGGTACCAGGCAACATCCTACGGGCAGTGAGCGGCTACGCTGTGCAGGTGACACAGGCTCTCGTCCTGCTGCATCTCCTTACAGCCTACGTCATCCTGGTCAACCCCGTCACCCAAGGACTCGAGGAAGCCCTCAACATCCCCAGGAGTGAGGGGAATTGTTTATTCAATTAATTATTTAATTAACATTAGCCCTCAACATCCCCAGGAGTGAGGGGAATTGTTTATTCATTTAATTATTTAATTAACATTAGCCCTCAACATCCCCAGGAGTGAGGGGAAATTGTTTATTCAATTAATTATTTAATTAACATTAGCCCTCAACATCCCCAGGAGTGAGGGGAATGTTTATTCATTTAATTATTTAATTAACAGTAGCCCTCAACATCCCCAGGAGTAAGGGAAATGTTTATTCATTTAATTATTTAATTAACAGTAGCCCTCAACATCCCCAGGAGTGAGGGAAATTGTTTATTCAATTAGTTATTTAATTATCATTAGCCCCAACATCCCCAGGAGTGAGGGGAAATGTTGATTCAAATATTAATCTATTTTATTTTTATTATTTATAATTGTTATTTATTATTTGTTACTATTATAATTTAGCACAATATTAAAAATGTTTATTCAAATATTAATTTATTTAATACTTATTATTATATAATAATTTTTACTATAATTATAATTATTTACTATAATATTTATTAATTTTGTAGTATTTACTATACTCTTTATATCACACTAAATAATTCCTAAAATGTTTCTGCAAATATTAGTGTCTATGCATTTCTGATGCAAGAACAAATTCAACCTTTGCCCCTCAATATCCCAAAGGGTGAGGGGAAAGGTTTATTCAAATATTAATTTATTTATTATTTATAATTCTTTTATATTAATCCCCAGGAGTGAGAGAAATGTTGATTCAAATATTAATTTTTGTATGTATTATTATTATCATATATTATTTTTTACTATTATAATTTACTATAATCATCATTAATTTTATTTTTATTTTTATTAAACTCTTATTACCAAACTAAATCATTGCAAAAATGTTGCTCCAAATATTAATGTTTATACATTTCTGATGCAAAAATAAATTCAACCTTTGCAACTAAAAGACCTCAAATTTCAGCCTAAATTCCAAATTGTGATACAAATTATTATTTTTTCAAAATGTTCTTTTTATCAAATGTAAACTTTTCAGAAGCATTAGGTTTTTTTTCTTTAACTTTAATAAAAAATTATTAATTTTTAATGTTAAATTCAAAGGTAAACACCCTGTAAAATCCTGACATCGCTAGTCCGATATTTCCCCATTGCACAACCTGACTTCCAGAGATTGATTTTCAGGACTGCATTTTCCCGATTTCTTGAAATTCCTGAAACATTTTCCAGGGTTTGGATGGAAACGGTGCGTAGTGCGCACTCTCTTGGTGCTTCTCGAGATCGTCGTCGGTCTCGCCATTCCGGATTTCGGTAAAATTCTGGATTTAGTCGGCGCCTCAACAGTGACGCTAATGTCATTTGTCCTGCCTCCTATCTGCTACCTCCGCCTCTCCGACTCCTTAGATGCTAGAGGAGAGGCATACAGGTGAGCAAAGCTGTGTATAAATTATCAACAAAATATCAGTGTGACGAGATTGTGAACTTTTTGAACAAGAAAACTGTTGCGATTCTCATATTACAGGTGGCTTTCGTGTTTTCATAATTTAGATTTTTTATAAAAAAAGAAAAAGCATTAAAACAGTTTTTGCAAATGATTTAAATATCATGATTCTTATATTAAAGTTGACCGCACTTCGTGTTCCCATAGGTATTTTTTATTGTTTCCAAAAAACATTAGAAAAAACAATAGAACAGCTTTTACAAAGAATTTAAATAAATTTCTTATGATTCGTCAACAAAACATAGCTCTTCAGTCACTTCCAATGAATAAACAACTCATCCGATCAGTGTCGAACTAAAATGAATTGACCGAGGGTGGGATGATGTCAATGACTGAACTATTAAAATCATTATTTCATAATAAACTTTTTATTATAATCTTTGACGCGCCGTTCTATGAACGGATCATCCTGTACGTGGTGATGGTGGCATGTCTCATGGGTGGTGTGATGGTAGTGTTTGAACTCATAACAAAACATTAATCATACCAAATCATTTATTTTAATAATTATTATCTTCAGGTTCGTACCATTCTTCGAGAGAATCATTCTGTACGTGGTGATGGTGGCCGGGCTCATGGGCGGTGTGATCGCCACATGGAGCGCCATAGTGAACATCAGCACACCATCCTCAGGGCCAGACAGCTGCTTTTTCTGATCAGGCATATTTCCTTAAGGATAATTTCTGTCTCTTTAATTTAACTTAATATCTATTATATCTATTAAACCGAGAAATTTTTTATTTTATAAACTTTAACATTTATTTAATCTTGAAAAACTTAAAAATTGGTTTTAATATCTATTATACAGTATCTATTATACCGGGAAGTTTTTTCTGATCAGGCATATTTTCTTATGGACAATTTCTGTCCATTTAATTTAACTTAATATCTATTATATCTATTATACCGAGAAGTGTTTTATTTTATAAACTTTAAAATTTATTTAATTTTGAAAAACTTAGAAATTGTTAGAAATTAGTTAAAATGAGGTAGTTTATACAGATTAATTTGGCTTTTCCACGCTAATGTATTTTTAAATGTACCTGAGAAGATTTGTATTCTTTACTTTTAAAACGTAGTATATCGACTAAATACCATTTGGTTATTTTATCTTAAGGTGCCTGTATTTAATTGTATTTAAAATTTCAACATTTTAGTCGAGAATTATAGTTCGCTTATTTCAAATATTTAATTGTATTTAAAATTTCAAGTTCGCTTATTTCAAAATCTTGCGTATTGCCTAACCTCTCACCCTCTACTTGATAAAATGAATTTATAATTCGCATTGATGTCTCTCAATAAATTTTTGTAACAGGGACAAGAGTATAAATTATGAAACTACAAATGGAAATATTTTACCTATAATCGATATATGAAAATTGTGGGGCTAGTGAACAAAGGAGTTAGTTATTCATAATTTAGGATCAATAATATATATTTTCACTTTTGCCAATTAGATTTCAATCAAAGAAATTAATATCAATTGGGAGTAGGAAAAAAAATTAGTTGCTATAACATAAATTTTTTTTTTTCAATTATTTAGCCATACTTTCCTACCAACAAGATTACAATTGACCAAAAAGTAAGCACATTTAACCCAACACAATTACAACACTTAATGATCAAACATAACAACAATCACAAAAGGAGAACCTATTCTGATTGAGAATGGACAAATTCAAATCACATTCTTTAAGATCCTAGAATGAACTTTTTCCCCAGATTATTAGTTGATTTGGAAATCAGATGCATGGTGTGCATTTATGCTTCTTCATTAATACACATACAGTAAAAACAGATACAGCAAATACAGAAACAGTAAACACAGATACATTAAATACTGATACAGTAAATACAGATACAGTAAATACAGATCCCGGTTGATCAAACCGCTCGCTTATTTGGACCTAATCATAAACTGTCGAAATCATGCACGTTCAATAAATCCCGTTCATCACTAATTAATTCACGACACTCCGGTTATTAGGACCAACTGGCATATTTAACAATCGGTTAAAGAGGACCAACAGGTTTAAAATCAAACCTGTAGTTAGAACCAAAATTGGGTTGGATCCAAGAGAACTGCTTCCAGATCTAGTCTCGTCAACCGGAATAGATTATATTCATCATTATTACTCGCACATGAACGAGTCAAAGAATTGATGGATTAAATGTTTATCCCTTATTGACGTCATGTTGGCACTATAACGAAAAGAGATATTGGACGACTGCAATTTTGTATACATTTTTATACATGAATTTTCATCTTACAAACAACAATTTCTTATGCCAAAACAATTTCTTTCGATGCGGATATACATATTGCTCAAACCGTCATCTCGTTTATGTATTAAACTAACTAGTTTGCATTAATCGCAAATTAATCATTGATTTAAGAGCAAAGACAATACCACAAAAATTCGCCATTTCTTTATAAGAGAAAATGTTTCGGAGTCCAGCTCCATCGTCAGTTCATAACACAAGTCCTAGCAAAACAAATGCAATCAATTTTCACTGTCAGGTATTAAAACGGAAACAAGCAAATGACGACATGAAACAAACACTCATTTCATCTATCTATTAATATTAATTATTTCATCTATCTATTTAATATTTCGAGGGGAAAGGAGCTAAAAACGGCATTCAGACTAGGCTCTGTTCGAATATATACAGGGATTCTAAAATTCATATATCTGTAAAACCGGATGTGAAAGCTAGAACAATCAGATACGGTCAGATACAGAGGTCAGATTCAGAGGTCAGATACAGAGGTCAAATACAGAGGTTAGATACAGAGGTCAGATACAGAGGTCAGATACAGAGGTCAGATACAGAGGTCAGATACAGAGGTCAGATACAGAGATCAGATACAGAAGTCAGATACAGAGGTAATATGCAATGGTCAGATACAGAGGTCAGATACAGAGGTCAGATACAGAAGTCAGATGCAGAGGCATGAACACGTACAGCAGAATGAGAGGGATATGCAAGTAGGTTCCCCGTTCTATAACTCCTTCCTTATGCTCTGCCAGCCTAGTATATGTAGAAATTGCGTGACGTCATATCGACGTATGCTGATGCGCACTGCGCACAACTATATCTGTAAACTAGGGACGATCTCATATGAACAGGGAGAGTATCATTGCACCCGAAAAACGAGTTGATTCTAAAATTGTTATTACTAACAACACATCAAGATTTACACCCGGCGAGAAATTTGGCGAATAAAACTTTTAATTCCATTGACAAAGTCTCAGATGCGGGGCCAAATTAGGGAAAGGAATAGTAACAACTTTCCTATTGTCACACTTGGGAACAAATTCAGTACATGGCTTAGACAAATTTTTTTTATTCACAAAAAATTCTCGCCAAATCACGCAGATGATGTGAAAAAATTGTGTATGTAAGAAATATCAGATTTTTAAATTAAATTCGCAGCACAACGACCCTGTTTAAATATATTTCTTGGCGAATCTTATGAAAGGCGGAATTTGGTGAACACTGTTAACTACGGAAAAAGATACGCGTAGAGACGTCGCTCCTCAAAACCGGAACTTGCTGAAAATATTTCGAATGAACTTTAACTAACTTCGGAAAACTCGTTAAGTCTCATCTTAGAAAGTGACAAGTAGCTTCACTAAAGTCTTTAATGACTTGCAGAACTAAATATAAAATATTCAAATTTGGCAATTAAATTGTTAGTTCGTTTCCTCAACGCTTCGTTCCCCGTCACAATTTATTTTTCAAAAAGACAATTTGAATAACAATTTTACCTAGAATTAATGAATGATTCTATTTAGATATTTAGATTTAGTCACTGAATAACTGGTAACTTTGACGATAAATACATGTGTTAGTCACTGTATAACTGTTAACTTTTGCTATTTAAAAGAAAACAAGTGAATTTTTATTTATTACTGCAAAAGACGGTCATAAATACAGAAATTGCATATATGAATGACCAATTATTATTAATTTGCGTCATCTTCCAGTCCATAAACATTCCTCCTACAAAAATGTTTTGTTTTTCCCAACATATTGCATTTTTGCGGGCGATTAATTAAAGTCGCATTAATTTTTTTATTTATCTGCTCACATATTGAAAAGACTTTGCTTTCAGATAATTGGTCAAGCCTTGCCTAAATACCTCCAACGATATCATAACTTCTTCGATCCTAACTCAGTTAATTAAATATTTCCTTGTGATTTCTTGATCAACTTATTCCCTTTGAAGTGATTCATTTTGAATCTTTTGCTTTGAATGAAGATAATTAGTATATTTTAATACCAGCCAGTCTAAGCTTAAATGTAGTACAGAATAATTTTAACTCAAATTTCAAAGTATTTTATTCTAGAGGATATATTTTAACGTAAGACATATCGAGACATCATAACAGCCTGAAACTGAAATTTTGCACCATTCAGATTCAAATCCCTTATTGGGATTTGAAATCCCTTATTTTCAAATCCCTTATTATCTATCCCTTATGCAGCTTATTGAAATTATATTAATGAATAGTGATATTTATATGGCAGTCACAACACAAGGTCTTGTTATATCTCCTTGCCTGATTTCCTGCAACGTTACATTTTGAGGAAAATCGCACAAAAATTTTCTGTACAGAAATGTTCTTGAGATAAAAAAGAACACGTCATACTCACGATATCCGCACTCTTGATTCCTTTCAATGCACTACATTATATGCTTCATCTGAAGGGGTGGGTATACTGTATAGTGTAGTTTTGTAGTGAAGTTTTTCGATGACAGAATTTGCTGATTTATACGCGTGAGATAAATGATACTTCAAATACTTTCAAAACTCGCTAAGTGAACGTAAGTACTTACGCTCTATTTTCTTGTCTATGATTGGTGGATTTTGCTTGAAAGACCGTCAATGATTGGCTGATGAACTTACGATCTCTTAATTTATAGCGCATTTTCTCATTTCTGGAAAAAATGCACTATTGTGCTCGCCATGTCTGTCTGTCTGTCTGTCTGTCCGTCTGTCTGTCTGTCCGTCTGTCCGTCCATCCATGACCTCAAGTTTTCGTCGTCGAGAAAATGCGCTCTCTGTCACTCACTGCAGTGAGTACTGAGTTATATTTTTTGAAAGTATAGGCCTGGCAGAGAATTCGTTCACTTAAATTATCAGAGAGTCGAACAATTCTTCAGAAGACGTTGTTGGTAGATCAATAGACATGTTTCAGGAAGTAGTTTTAGTTTATTAACGCTGTTTCGAATGCAACAAACATTCATCTCAAAGTTACAAGAAGCATTGAATATTGAAATTTTGCTGGAAATACTTTTTGTAATTGGTGTATTTCCGCAGATGCCTTTCTTTTATGCAAGTTCAATAATTATTGAAGATCAGAGCATGCTTTTTATTAACAATATTATTTTTTTCAAAAATGTAGCAAAATTTCTTGCGAGGGATCAAAATCAGATTGCCAAATGACATTTTAAAGGAATGCGACGTTTCGAATATAAAATTTTCATTATCAAGCTGGTGAAGGTTTTGCATCACTTGAAATTTAACTTTTGGGAGTGACAGTAGTACAAATAAAGGGTATTGTGGACAAAATTTGTAATATAAGTTTAAAATTACTGTGAATGAAATTTAAGCGTCCGGACAAATACCATAGTCTGGAAGTTAATAGCTGGAGACTCGCTCTTGATTATGACTCACTCAGCTATCGCCAGTCTCGATGGGTCAGGGCATGGTTGAAATAATATGTATTAATTCAATCATGGGTCGGGGCACCGCAGAACTATGCTGGTGCAGGCCTATAATGTCGCTCGGATCGGGTGATGTCTCATTGTGAGCCTCCCGCATGTGGTTCATCTTGGGTCCTCCAGATTGTAGCATGTGAGTCGGCGGCTTAAGGTCGTGTTATATTGTAAGACCAATGTAGTTTATATTTTGAAGAAGTCTACAACCATCTATATTACATGAAAATTTAGAAACAATATTAGTTTCTTGAAGCAGTCCAATATTTTTACAGGGATTTTTATTAATGAGAAGGTTTTTAATTTTCTTGTTTTTGTAGTAGATCAGAAGTTTTATATTTTTCCGTTATTCGTTGTGCTCTTGATATTATATTATGGATGATTGACTGTAGGGCTCGTTCATCCACTTGGTAGCCGCTGTTCATCGTGTTTTGATAACAGGTTGTTGTGACGGTTCCATTAAATATTGCTTCATTGTCGGTTCGGTTATTTCTCGATCGATAATTATATATTTCAGTGTCACCTTTTCTATTTGAAAACCCATTATTTACTAAGATTTGTTTACAAGTTCTGAGTTCAGTTTTCAAGTCACTCTCGGATGTGCTGTTTGAATGCTCTCTGTACGAGAGCGCGCACAGTGCTGGTTTTATAGCGTTGAGGGCATTCACTTCCTTCGTTTAGCACTTTTCCGACATCGGTCGGTTTTCGGTAAACATTAGTGACAAAAGAATTATCTTCAATTCCCACTAATATATCTAGGAAGGGCAATTTGTGATTTTGTCAAATTCATGGGTAAACTTCAGAACTGAGTCTCGTTCCAAAGCTTTTACAAGTTATTCAAGTGCTGTTCTCCCGATTGACAACGAAAATGTCATCCACATATCTGCAAATAAGTTCAGGCTTGATCTGTTTCTCTCGAGCACTCAATTTTCCAGTTCACACATAAAGAATTCTGCAAAAGTTGGACCTAGAGGGCATTCAATGGCATTGCCGTTAATTTGTCGGTAAATTTTGTTATCGGTAGTCCGGAAGGGAGATTCTGGAGTACTGTACAGAGACGAAGAAGGTCAATTAGGATCTTTTTAGCGCATTTTCTCATTTATGGAAAAAATTGCTATTGTGCTCGTCATGTCCTTCCGTCCGTCTGTCCGTGACTTTACGTTTTCGTCTGTCACTCACTGCAGTGAGTACCGAGTTATATTTTTTGGTATAGGTGAGGCTGGAAAGGATTTGTGCTAATATATTTTTTGTAATTGGACATGTAGTGATCCTCCCTCCCATTTTGGGAGAAAAAATGCACATGTTACACTCACGACATCACATCCAGGGACTTCCGCACTCCTAATTTCCTGCACTGCACTACGCTGTAAAAAGCAGAGCGGAAACTCCGGCTCATGAAGCAATAGGTGATGGGGTTACAACACGCGGAGCAATACGCTAGCAGATGCACCCCTGCAACTCCTTTCATACCCAGGATTCTGTACACGAGGCTCCCGTTATACAAAGACACCGTATTGAGTACGTACAGAGGAGTCCAGCAGATGAAAAATTCGAGAACCACAACTCCTATCATTTTAATCATCCTCTGTTTGTCCCTGAGAGCTTTGTGGGAACTCGTACTCCGTAATGAAGTCTCATGATTAATGATTTGGTTTTCTCTCGTACGTTTTTGGGTGATCCTAACATTTTTGTTCCTTTTAGATGTTGGATTGAATCTTTGACTGAATGTAACGGCATCATTTACTGTTTCACTCAAGCATATTTCCACTGATGGTGCTTTAGACTTGTTAAGTTTGAACTTTCCAGGTCCACGATTCTTGTGAATTACGATACTTGAGAACTTAGGCTTTCCGGTGCCATCGGCCCCACTTGCATCTGTGCTACTTCGGGAAGATTCGAAATCGAATTCATCGATTCCAATTCCTGGAACCAAGATTGTGCGACTGGAATTCGCCTGGAATTCTTCGGAATGTTGTTTTGAAGTCAAAAGTTTTTTCGTCTGGCCGCTTCTTCGTTCATCGTTCCCCGCACATTTTCTTTCTTCACAGCCAATTAAAGCATCAGTTTCTTTCCCGTGAGAGCCTTCAACCAGGGGACCTGTAAATCACGAAGGAACAAATTTGAATAAACAACCGTTATTACGCACGCAAAGTTAGCTAATTGAAACATTTTAGGCAGAAAAACAGTTGCGCATTTAGGATGGTTATTATATTTATTTAATAATTCAATCTATTGACGTTTATCAACCATCACAAAAACGATCGGAACAAGATAATATTAAAAAACTATTTTTTTTTCACGAGGTTTTCCATGTAGAATAATGTTGGATGAATCAAATAGCATGACAAAAACAAATTTTAGCAACGTTACTCCAACCATCAATGTTGAGCAACTCTTGAAACGCGTCTATACCACGAATTGAAATTCATGTTGGATGAACTGAATTACTTTGATGCTAACGTTCAAATTCATGACGAATGTACTGAAGTACTTTGATGCTAACGTTCAAATTCATGAAAAATTTACTGAAGTACTTTGATAATAACGTTCATATTCATGACGGATGTACTGAAGAACTTTTATGCTAACGTTCAAATTCACGACGAATGTACCGAAGTACTTTGATGTTATCGTTCAAATTCACGACGAATGTACTGTACTTTGATGCTAACGTTCAAATTCATGGCAGATGTACTGAAGTACATAGATGCTAACGTTCAAAATTATTACTAATTTACTGAAGTACTTTGAGGATAACGTTCAAATTCATGACGGATTTACTGAATTACTTTGATGCAAACATTCAAATTCATGACGGATGTACTGAAGTACTTAGATGCTAACGTTCAAATTCATGATGAATGTACTGAAGTACTTTGATGCTAACGTTCAAATTTATGACGGATGTACTGCAGTACTTTGAGGATAACGTTACAATTCATGACGAATGTACTGCAGTTCTTTGAGGATAACGTTCAAATTCATGACGAATGTACTGAAGTACTTTGATGCAAACGTTCAAATTCATGACGAATGTACTGAAGTTTTTTGATCCTTAAAAATGTATTGCATGGATGGTACAGTGGGACAAATCGACCTCAATTTGATTGTGATAATCAATCACAGCCGCGCTAATCTCTCGCTATTCATGAACATTGAACGGGTCACCGCTGGCATGCTCACACACAGTTCGCCGGTGCATTTCCTCGCATCAGTATCGACGTTCATCGAAATCTCTCATTCAATACAAATTGCCATGCAATAATCAATTTGAGCCTGACGTTCTGAATTGCATTTGAACCCTACTTTCTTTTTGTTAGGACGGGTATGGGTTGTAATAATATTTCGCTATTAGAACTTTCTTTCTTAACCTCGTGTTGCAAGTAGGTAATTTGGTTGTCATAGTCATGAAGCGCTGCATTTTCAATTGAACCCAGCATTTTTTCTGGGGTATAAGTTTCATTTAATTCCGTAAAACATGATCCAACAAATATTTAGAATCGTTTTCGCTACAGTTAAGGAAAATGTTCCCTATATGCTATTTCATCAAAAATTCATCTTAAAACCTAACAATTGTTTGCATGTAAACATCAATCGCAAATTCTGAGAATAAGAAACTAATGATAAAAATACATGTTTCAAAGTTATCATTATAGTGTTTCCTGAAATTGCCGAATAGAAAAGTAATATTCTTGTTAACAGATATCCTCTACACGACTTATGCCTTTGCCTAGGCATTCATTCAAACAAATCCGCAGTCCTTCAGTTAACCAATTTATTTACGTGTTGAAATAATACCTGTTTCTTTGCCGCTGCTGTAAGCTGAGACACATTCGCTCCTGCAATTCGAGCTCACAGCTCGGATGTTGTTATGTTCAGGCCCGAGAGTTCGATGTTTTATTGATGTTCGATACCCTTCCTCTTGTAACACACGAAATTCTTTGTTTGTATTTGTTGTAGATGGACTTTGCCTGTAACAACAATCTTTTGTTTGCAATGCCCTCGACTCTTCTTCAACAGTCCTGAGATCCACGTGAGAAGAAATCTTGTTCCATTTGACACTAGAATCAATATTTGCGCTTGACGGGCAACCGTCGGGAGAATTGTGATCTCTCTCGTCAATTTGGCTCAATGAGGTCTCCATTACCAGCGTCGTACTGTCATTTCTGAGGGATGAAGTAAAACGGGAACTTCGGCTCATAATTTTTCGAGAAGAACTTGTCGTACAATTGCAACTTTTCGTGTACCGGGCACTGTTTTTTCTATCGTTTGCTATGGACTCGTTCAGGACATCACGAATGGCTAAGTAGGCGAGTAACATCAATAAGAGGGGAAGTAGCAGCAAAAAAATCATCAGGGAAATCCAATACAATTTTTCGAGAAAGTTACTCGGCCATTGTTCCCTGCATTTGTGGCGACCTGAAAAATTATAAGAAATCATCAGTTGTTAATTTGAGAAGTTAATTCTATAATATAATTTTATAATTGTCTCATTCAGATTCCGTTAATGTTTAGGTCATAATTTCATGAGTTAAGTATTAAATAGATTTTAGTGCGAGCTGCAGGATACACACAAGACTTATTTTTTTAACTAAGGGCGGGTGATACTCGGGGTTACAACAATAAAAATATACTCTTTTTCTAACTGATATGCGGCTAAAATTCAATCTAACCCCAACGAAAATCTAGATTTCTATACGAGATCAAATATTACTATTATGTTTTCCTGCTTATTTTTCTCAAATGCATTGCAGTGCAATAGCAGCAGTGTTCACTGAGGTAAAACGGTTCAAGTCCCTTTTTCCTATTCATTCAATGGTCTATTGTATGTAGACAATGGCCTTGCATGCTACCTAAACTAAACCATGAACCAAATCCCTGTGTTGCCGACGGGCATGAGTTTGGATGTGATAGGTTGTACGTAGCATGCTGTCCATTCATTTGTATGTAGTATATATCCGTAACTAAACTAAACCATAAACCAAACCCGCATCATGCAGTGGTGCCGACGGGCAAAGTCACGTGGATGTGACAGGTTGTATGTAGCATACTGTCCATTCATTTGTATGTAGGATATATCCATAACCAAACTAAACCATAAACCAAACCCGCACCTGTGGTGCCGACGGGCATGAGTGTGGATGTGATAGGTTGTATGTAGCATGCAGGCCATGCATGCCACTTATCCATTTGTATGTAGGATATATCCATACCTAAACTAGACCATAAACCAAACCCCAACTGTGGTACCGACGGGCATGAGTGTGGATGTGATAGGTTGTATGTACTGCTGCCCTTGCATGCTACCTAAACTAAATGCTGACCTTGCATGCTACCTAAACTAAACCATAAACCAAACCCCTACCTGTGGTGCCGACGGGCATGAGTGTGGATGTATGGATGCCCGATTGCCTTGTGGATGTATGTAGCATGCTGACCATGCATGGTACATAAACTAAACCATAAACCAACCCCCACCTGTGTTGCCGACGGGCATGAGTGTGGATGTGATGGCTATGGGAGCCATGAAGACGAGTGAGGAGATCCACACCACGGCTATCCTCTTCCTGGCATGGCTCGCCGTGCGCCAGCCACGGGAGCGCAGAGGCCTACAGATGCCCGAGTAGCGCTCGTGGGATATCGCGACCAACGTCCACGCGCTCACGCTCACCGACACCGCTGAGAAAATTATCGGAACATTTGTAATTGCAGTATTATAATAAAAATATTAATATTACCGCTGAAAAAATTGTCGGAATATTCGTAATATTTTTACCCAAGTAACGCTCGTGCGATATCGCGACCAACGACAACGCGCTCACGCTCACCGACACCGCTGAGAAAATTATAGGAATGTTTGTAATTGTAGAATAAGGATAAAAACATTATTATAGCCGCTGAGAAAATTATAGAAATGTTTATAATTGTAGTACATAAATAAAAATATTATTAAAACCGCTTAGAAAATTCTCAGAATATTTGTAATTGTAGTATAAGGATAAAAATATTATTATTACCGCTGAAAAAAATATCGGAATATTAGCAAAATATTATTTGAATGTTAAACCTATATAATAAAAATAATATTATTATGTATAGGCTTCACCCGAAGCGACTGTAGAGTCGCTTTAATGGATGTTGATCTTAAAATCATCAGCATCCGTTACTGGGTATATAACATTATAAAGTTCTCTAAGCTGCTTATATTTTGGAATTGATCGCTGCTATAACACAAATAAATGAGGTATATAAATATAGGTAGACAAGATATGAAGAGATTAAATATTCTAATTAGTCTAAAAATATTAAGTAGCCAAATATGTAATATTATAAATGAATTTGGAAATCATCAGTTAATAAGTTTCATTATTGATATTTACATCTCAATATAACATATCATTAAATGTATTAATAACTCAATTGATTTAAAAATGAATTTAGTCTTTTTCATACACGAAAAAATTTCCCGTGAATATAGTCCAAATGAGATCATGACGAAGTGATGAATTCAAAAATGCAAACTCGATCAGACCTCTCAACGCCACACAAGCATTAAAAAATAGTAAATTTGTCTCTCTCTAACAGCCAATTAAATGAGGATTATATGCATTAAAACTGCTGACCATGATACGCGAATAACATTTTAGACTAATTGCGTGGGTTTTATATCATTATTATAAACTTGTATTTTACCACGAATAATTTTTTACCTCATAACTGATGAAAATAATAAAATAAAAGTATTTAAAACTGCTCAGGAAAATAAGAAAACAATGTTCTTCAACTGCTAACAACAACTTGAAACTAAAATTTTTAATGCACTGATGATAGAACACTGAATGTTGTATTAAAGCTGGTAAACATGGGATTCCCAGAAGCATAGAGTGGCCTCACTTAATCAGCTATTGTTATGCACTTTTTTCATTATTTACCTTGTCAGGATTTTGAAACTGTTTCGTTCACATTGAATATATTAAATCACATTTGTCTTCCATTCAGCATTTACTTAGCATAAGAACCCTCACAGTTCAGACCCAGACAAGCGAAGAAACGAGGCAAAACACTTCTCCCAAGTGCGTTTAAATTGCTATCATTTTGATGTCAGAGTTTTCTATGATATACGAGCGCAATACCCCATATATTTTCATTTTTAGAATATATTTGAGTGACCAAAGATTTTTTTATTGACAACTTTTGGATTAGGATAAATTTGAAGAGGAAAACTTGCTATTGCATCGGCAAAATATCCGCTGGAAGATTTTTTCTGGAGATAGAACAGAAAAATTGATGTATGCTAATGATTTTTCATGTCATTGGCTTTTCTCGTCCTCAATTACAATCTAAATTAATACGAAATATATTCATTAGTCATTACTATTCAAATTTATTTTAGTATAAGTCCAAGCAACCCAATGGAAATTCAGATTACATTGCTTAAAAATCGTGAAGTAAAAAGCCAATATCAATTAAAAATTTCAAGTTCAGTAATTGAGAAATTAGCCGCGCTCTCATTAACGGCTGGAAACCAATTAAGATAGCACTCGAGAACCCGGAATGAGGGTTCGTGACGAGCGTATCGTAGTCTGTAATTCATTGTCTCAGACTTAAGAGCTTAATCGCGAGAACGACAGACATAATGAGTGCAAAATTACAGGATGTCTATACAGATGAAGCTGCTCGGGAAATGAATAAGTCTTTTAAAAATGTGAAATGTAGATAGCAATATATTTTTAACGTTTCCTTGTTAAAATTTTCATGAAATTTTTTTAAAAATGTTAACCTCAATGACGTAATAACTCGAAATAAGTACATTAATTTAGAAAATACCAAATATTATGAATGCTTTGGTGTAGCTTTCCTTAGCATGTTAAGAAGAGTGATTTAGTTTAAAGGCAATAAGTGGGCAGCAGTCAAGGACATTGTGTTTGCTCCTATGTATCACTTCCTATGATAAACAGGCGAGATGACAATATGGAAATCACAATAGCTAACAATTTTGATAAATTAGTTGAATGACAATTTTACCTACTGCTTTTCTCATTTTCTTAAGACTAATTCAGAAAAAACAGTGATTAGTGAATGAAGAATATTTTCGTGAATAGTAGAAATAGAATATAGTGAAATAGAAATAGTGAATGAAGAATAATTTAATTTAATTAAAAATGATGATTGACAATAAGAAAATTACCACTATATAAATAATTTACTTTTATTAATGAAGATTAATTTAATTTAAATTCATGATACTCGAATTTCATGAACACGACTGCCATTGAAGAAGCTTTAAGACCACACCTCGCGGCAGCTGATCGCATCTGTGAACTTTTTCTCTGCAACTGTAAAAGCAGATTTCCCTGGAGAAAATGAGCTCCCAAGGGTGCGTAAGTAGTCCTTACCGCCTCAATGAATCTTTTAAGACCTTATGATTGCAGCTTCTTATATTAACATGGAGTCCAAAATGTGTTGCTTTGATTAAACATTCGTTAATCGGGACTTAGTGAGGAGGAAGGAGAGAACCGAGACCAGGTTTTAAATGAGAAATGAATTCAAATAAATAACTAATAAATATTCGTTTGATATGCATTCATCTCCAATATATGAACGATTGAAATAATAATGAGAAGAATTATATACTAGAGTTATAAATAGGCGACTCGACTTTTTCAGGCGTAAAATTTACACGAGTTATTGGAGCAAGAGAACTTATACGAGTTAATGGAGCAGAAGAATTTACACCAGTTATTGGAGCAAGAGAACTTAAACGATTTATTGGAGCAAAAGAATTAAACGAGTTATTGGAGCAAAAGAAGTAAATGAGTTATTGGAGCAAGAGAATTAAAACAGTTATTGAAGCAAAAGAATTAAATGAGATATTGGAGCTAGAGAATTTTGCGAGTTATTGGAGCAAAAGAATTAAACGAGTTATTGGAGCAAGTGAATTAAACGAGTTATTGGAGCAAAAGAATATTAAACGAGTTATTGGAGCAAGAGAATTTAACGAGTTATTGGAGCATTGGAGCAAGTGAATTAAACGAGTTATTGAAGCAAGAGAATTTAACCAGTTATTGGAGCAAGAGAATTAAACGAGTTATTGGAGCAAGAGAATTAAACGAGTTATTGGAGCAAGAGAATTTAACGAGTTATTGGAGCAAGAGAATTTAACGAGTTATTGGAGCAAGAGAATTTAACGAGTTATTGGAGCAAGAGAATTATATCCATCAGTAAGAATTTAAATACGTGTTGCACATACAAACTATAAAATAATCAGAAGTAAATAATTTGAGAATAAATGTTGAACCCAGTTGTGAGCTGAAATTCCAGACCATTTAACAGGAACAACACTTATTAATTTAAACGGAAAAAGCATGTGTATAATATTTTCGAAAAATTAATTTATATCCTAATTTTGGATATTACGAAATACTCTTTTCAGCGCATTTTCATGTTTATGGAAAAAATGCACTATTGTTCTCGCCATGTCCCTCCGTCCGTCTGTCTGTCTGTCTGTCTGTCCGTCCATTACTTTCGAGAAAAACGTTTTCGTCGACGAGAAAATGCGCTCTCTGTCACTCACTGCAGTGAGTACTGAGTTAGATTTTTTTTAATCACTTAATTGTGTGGAATAAGTTTACATATAACAAGTGCGAGAAATTTTGCTCTGACCGGCAGAAAGTGAGAAGCTCGATCGGCTTTACTGCGCTGGAGCGAAAACAACACAATTCGCGCGTGACAACCGCAATCTTTCAATCCAGATCGATGGAGACTTTAAGTTCTTTGTGTGCTTTGAGGAATTTCAGCATCTTAACATTACTGTTCAACATAAATCTATTGTTAGAGTTTGAATATTGATGGGACTTAAAAGTTCTTTGTGTGCTTTGAGAAATGTCGGTGTTTTAACATTATTGTTCAACATAAATCTATTGTTAGAGTTTGAATATTGATGGAGACTTAAAAGTTCTTTGTGAGCTTCGAGAAATTTCAGCGTCTTAACATAATTGTTAAACATTAATCTATTGTAGGAATTTGATTATTGATGGAGGCCTACAGTTCTTTGTGTGCTTTGAGGAATTTCGGTGTTTTAACATTATTGTTCAGCATAAATCTTTTGTTAGAGCTTGAATATTGCTGTAGGCTTAAAATTTTTTGTGTGCTTCGAGGAATTTCAGCGTCTTAACATAATTGTTCAACATAAATCTATTGTTTGAGTTTGAATATTATTAATGACGGACAAACATGATTAAAAATACAATATAAAAATATATATTAAGACACCAAACTTAGTGAAATTGCTAGTAAAGCTGAAATATGCCCTATGAGAATATTTAAAACGACGCGAAATTCTCCGATTGTACACAATTTTCCCTCAATTTTTTTCCCCGCTAGAATAGTAAATTCTTCAGTACCTAAGTTTATGTGATTGGAAATAACGAAACAAAGTTTTTGAAAAATAAATTAGCATTGTTTCTATTTATTGCCCTCCCCGTTTTTATACTTATATATGTTACATTTAGTAACTTAACTTATTAAATTTACTGCTTACTTCGGTTGTAAAAAAATTTAGCGCAAAAATCATTAACCTATATACAAAAATGTCAATCTATTAAATGTGCTTCAAGTCAAACATGAATTCTTTTTTAATCGGTGAAAATATCCCGTCAGATCTCCACTCAATGCGAAAGAAACCGGAAGTAGATTAAGGAATCGTCAATGTTATTAAATATCTCGAGAGTTCCATCCCATGCATCCCACTGCATCCCATTTGAAAATCATCTACTACAAACCCTTCGTCCTCGAAATTTATTTTCGATATGCAGACATTTCTAGACTCAATTTGCTTAATTGAAAAGAATATCCCCATAATCGTTATTTATCTCTATCACATTTATTGAATTTTACCAGTATAACAATTTATCACATTTATCTGTATCAATATATATCACAATTATTTTTTCGACCCAATAATCACAGTTTATATTATCGTTTAATACTTCCAAAATTTATCACAATTCAGTATTAGATCCAATTACTACAGTTTATCCTATCATGCAATATTTCAAATTTAGCACAATTCAGTCCTTAATATCTAAGGACAAATCTATCAAAAATTTAAAGCAAAGAAGACGCCAAGCAAGTTCACCGTATCTTCAATGAAAACGTCTCGTAGACCAGCTTCATCACAGGCTCAAAAAATATGTGGAACAGAATAAATAGAATATGACATATTGGCGTTTTCTTTGCTTATAAATTCTTGTTGAACATGCGATTTAAGACGACCAAAGATTTAAGGATAAATCTAACCTTGTAAATATGGGATGACGTGGCAAGCGAAGCGTCCAAAAATGAAGTCCCGAAGTAGTGATCCCGTCAGAGTAAACGGAGCACACACGACGATCAGCAAAAGATCAGAAATGCTCAAGTTCAGCAGCAAAATATTGGTAGGAGTTCTCATCCTTCTGTGCAGCAGCAGCGTTACCAGCACCAGTAAATTACCGAGAACTGACAGCACCAGGATTAAGCTGTAGCTTGTCAGCAAGAATATTGCTTGGTCGTTCAGCGAGTTGAAAGTTACAGTGGCACTGGATTTGTTTGGTGCAGTGGCTCTGTTGCACAGCAATTCAATAAAGTGATCCAAGTAAGTGGTTATGTTTTCCATAGATGAGTTCCTCCATAACTTTGTACAATACTCTGAATTTGAATGAATGAGTTGAGTTAATAAATCACGGTAGATGGGAAGAATTGTCTCGTTTGTGAATGAAGTATTTTCGTTTTCAATTTCCATGCCAGAAAATAAATCTTCCATCTTCACTGATACACTTGCGCTTGAATAAATTTCAATTCTTCAACCTACAGGCTCAATTACTGAGCAAACTAATTTTATATTGAATTTTAGCTGCAAATTTATGCAATTCCTTCTTTTTTTAATAAGTTTGCTAATAATTGGCGTAGAAACATTCTTCGTACATCACATACATTCACCCTGCAAAAACATTAAAATCAATCATCTGTTTCACACTTTTATTAGTAAAGGAAAGTTAGAGCAAAGAAAAGTATTAGCAAATACATACACATTAATGCTGCTCCAATCAATGTACTTAGCTAATGAAAACATTATAGATTCAACTTATTATCTGCCAAATACAGTAAGTTGTATTATCTAAGCTTAAATATAATGCTTGCTTAGAAACATATTGTTTCGGTATTTTCAATTTAAGGACCAAAAAAATACATAGAACAGAATATAAACAGAAATTCTTTCTCCCTGACGTGGCAGAACATTAATATTAATACTATATAATTATTCCATTATCAATTTCTGGACCAAAAATACATCGAACATAACAGAATATAAACAGAAATTCTTTCTCCCTGACGTGGCAGAACATTAATACTATATAATTATACCATTATCAATTTCTGGACCAAAAATACATCGAACATAACAGAATATAAACAGAAATTCTTTCTCCATGACGTGGCAGAACATTAATACGATATAATTATATCAGCTACCATCGCGGCCGGCACTTCGCTTAATGCGGATCAAAATGCCCCGCGCCTGGTTTTAAGGTATCAAAATCACTGGCCTGAATATGGAAAATACAGTCATAAATATCTCATAGTGTGTAATTTGTTGGTTGAGGCTCTCAGAAGCCGAACGGCGTTTCCACATTAAAAGTATAACGGGTGACATGAAAGGCAATAACTGCAACAGTATAAGAACATGTGGCAATATCTGCTGCAGTATAAACACATGTGACTATAATAATATTTTCAAATGATTATGAATACATCTGTATAAACACAAATAGCTATAACTACATCAGTATATATACAAGTGGCCATAACTGCATCAGTATACATACTGCAATATACTGCATCAGTTTCACATTTTATATATTATACTGCATCAATTTCAATATAAATTGAAATAACTGCATCTGTATAAACGAAAATGCTGACTGGCGTTTAAGCGTCTCATGTCAATTTAATCCTAAAAAATATTTGGCGTATGACATTAAATATTGTTCTGCATATAAAAATAGAAAATACCATTCTATGAAAATTAAAATGTCTTATTCAAAACACAAATCAAAATAAAAGGACAATATTGTGCTAATTCCTCGTGAGCACCCTATGTTTCATCTATGCATGAAAAATTTTCCAAATACATGAATGTGTCCTCATTAAAAATCTTCTAATATACCTCCACGCAATACATAAATACTTCGAAGAAATGTTTTTCCGTGAAAAGGTAAGAGCTTCGCTCAAAAATACTTGCATCTTCCATTTAAATACGTTACTTGCATTAGGGAAATAAAACGTATAGCGGCATTCATTGAAACTGAAATCCTTAAAGAAACATTTAAATTTCCAACAACTTTATGTTACCTCATTCAAACCTCGGGAAAATATAAAATACGAAACCATCGTCGACAACGTTAAACATTATTCCTTTGTTGGGTAGCAGTTAAAATGGTTGCAATTTTGTCTCTTTGTTAAAGAAATTCGAATTATAAATACCGACGAGTCGATCGACCATTGACAATGCACTGACATTAATTGCAACAGAGTAAAGGGAAAGGAACGGGAAATTCGTTTGCATCGCAGTCATTTCAATGAATTGTCTTGTAGTGAATTGCTCGTTGCTGTTCAATTAATGATCAATGCACCTGATGAAATACGAAATCAGTTACAGTTGTCGTCCGAAATTGGTCGAGATTTATGTCGGTGAAGAAGGAATTTGAAATGCGGAACGATTGCTGATAGCCTACAATTTTTACATTGAAATATACTCAGAATTCGAAACTTAAAATCTTCGAAAAGCAAACTTATATCGCTGTCGATCAAAATATTATGATTGTGTCGCTCAAAATATTTTCAAATTTTTGAAATATGGTTCGATGTAACCTTTAACTTAAAACAGAAATCATTATTTTTCCCCGAAGCTTAAATTTCCCTATCTCCAAAAATCCCTAAAAATCCTTCATAGCTCACTGCTTGCTTGTGACATTTGTTGCGCACTGAACGTTCGGGAAAATAGTGCAGGTAGCGAGAAAAACGGAAAACATAGTCAAAAATGGTGGGTTTTGCTTGATTAAGAATAATATCTAATAATATATTTGTTCCCCATCTCATTTCTTCCATATTTGTTCAATCAACTGACGAACACTTTATTTTTATTTTTTATTTTTTGCCTCACGTTGTATTTTACAAAACTAAATTTTTGAGCTAGATTCTCACATGGCTTGACGAATTCGAAAAGAATTAATAAGCCAAAACTCTTCTTCAATACAAACTCATTTCCACAGAAGCTTGAATCATTTCGACATTTTGTAAAAATTCTGTTTTCTTTCCTTATTAATTAAAATAATTGAAAACGACAAATCATTGTACACATTTAAGAAGCTGAAATCGAAAACTTTCAAAACTTACATCTAATTGCTGTGAAATTTTACTCTTCTTGATTTTCTGCCATTTATTATATAATGACTATTTTCATTTGTATTTTTCCACATTAAGTATATTAAAATAGGTGCAGGTGTGTTTAGTAAGTCATTTGTTTGACTTATCTAGATATGCTAAGTGAGTCGTTTCAGCTTCTATATTCTTCATCAATTAATTTAAATATTGACATCAAGCAGGAATATTTCTAAAATTTATCGTCAGCATCTATTATGACAATTAAAATATTCATAGTTCGATTTTGATAGTTTAAATGATAGTCATTCGTGTTAAAATTATTAATAATTACTGAGGTCGCTTTGAGGGAAATTAAATGTCAGAATTGATTACGATTTACGTTTTAAAATTATGAAGTTCAGTTTATAATTTAAAAATCAAGTTTTCGAACGAATACGCTCATTTTTTCAGATTGATGCACGAAAAACCTTAATTTTCTTTCATGCTTTTGAACTCGCTGCATCAATCTCAATGCGGCTGAAACGGCCAAAGTCTATGAACACCTAAGAGTATGTAAGTCTATGTTTGCCCGCGAAACAGAACACATTAGATTGTTTGGAAGACAGCGCAAACTTCAGAAGGCCTAAGGAGTAAATTAGGTTTGAAATTCAAAGCTCACAATTGCACTGGACTGGTATCAGCTCCAGCTCTTGAAACAAAAACGTGAAAATTAATTCGGAGTCTGGTTTCGAAAAATGGTTTTGACTGCTGCAGAGGCCAGCTGCCTTGCAAATTCCTCGAGTATTTCATGCCAACAAGAACAGACACATGTTTCGTGGCGCTATTCCTAGACAAGCAAATAAAGTTAGTGTTTCTGCATAGAGTCCATAACTGCGTCAGTAGGAAATATTAACCTTCAATAATATTTTTGGTGCTGGTTTGGTGCTCAATGTAAAGTGAAGGCCCAATGTGTATTGCCCAAGCGAATTTTATTCACTTCTGTTTTTTTTAAACATCTTAGTCATGAAGTTTTCTTGATAATCCCTATATAAGGTCGAGTGTTCTAAAGAACAGCGCAATTTGGTCCAAGGATTTTCATAGCATTAATATTCTGACGAACAAAATAAAGTACCTCTCGTATACCTGCTTCATCTAGCGCATGAACTGGTCAAAAAATATTCTATCCAAAAAATTCTAAATTCATGTTTTTTGAAAGCCCTACTTTCATGCAGAACAATACTGCTCGCCAGTCCGTCTTTCATGCTGGACATTTCTGCTTGCCAGTTTTACTTTTATGCTAGTAAATACTGCCGGTTAGTCTTACTTTCACGCTGGACAATACTGCTCGTCAAAAGGCAAAGTTTATTGCAACTTATTTGACAGAACAAGTCGTCTATATAATGGATTCTCTGAACTTGCATCCGCTGAAGCCCTCAGGGCACCGCAGACTCGCGGAAGAACTTTGATGGACAGAAATTCAAAAAGTTACAGAGAAAATAATACTCAAAGCGTAGCTTTAAAATAGCGTAAACGCGATTGTTTGCGGTAAATGTTATTTTTCATTATAAAACTTAATACTTAAACTTATATAAAACTCATATAATAATATATATGATCATATATATCATATAATATATATGAGAACTATATAGAACTTAATACTCTTAATACAACTCTCATAAATAAAATTAAATTTTACCTTACTTATTCTAGCATACAATTTAATCATTTATATGTTCTTATTTAAAACCTAAATTAATCTTCAAAACGAGAAAGAATGGTGGACGAAAATAAACACGCTGCTCAGAAACAATGTAAACTATTCAATCGTGAAGTCGAATCTATGAGCCGTGCAATTTAATGCCTGCAGAATCCGGGACTAGGTTTAGGAAACCGTTAAATGGGATTGATCGCGTAAATAATTATGAATAGTGAATAAGCTAGAGAAAAGGCTAGGAAAGCTGAGGTTTGAAGAATATGCGTGATTTATGCATCACGTTTATCTTTAGAGTTCACGCTCAAAAATGGTACATCAATGTACTGAAAATCAGTAGGCGAAGTGTAGGAGGCTGGACAGGAGGATAGGTGATTGCCATCCGATGGTGATATATGCTGAGTTTTTTTTAGCATATATCACCGATGGTGATATATGCTGAACAACCGTTAAAAGTCTTTAGGTTACGTATTTACCTGCATTAGGTGAAATTTTCACCTGCTTAAGGTAAATTTTTCACCTCCATTGGGCGGTAATGA